GAAGAGGTTAGCCGACGCCTAGACCAGCACTCCGAAGCCCGATTGGTGCAAATCTCGATGCGATTGCCGTCCAGGTCGTTCAGGTAGCAGGCCTGCTGGCCGTCGTGCCGGGTCTGGATGTCGGTGACCTCGACGCCCTTCGCCATGATCGAGTCCCTGGCACGGGCGATGTCGTCCACCTCGAATGCGGTATGGTGCGACGGGGCCGATGGAGCGTCGGGGTTCTCGATGATGTGGACCATTGCCCCGCTGGGAAGTTGCAGCCAGTACAGGTGATCGCTGTCCACCATCTTGGGTATCTGCTTCAATCCCAGGATTTCCTCGTACCAGACCAGCGCCTTGTCTTTGTCCTTCACGTTGTAGGTAATGTGGTTAATGGCCTTCAGGCGAATTGAATCGTCCGACATTTGTTCTCTCCAAAGATTGGATGTCTGCTCGCCCCATGATAACAGCGTGGCGACCTCACGGTCGAGAACGGCGCTCGACCTTTTGGTGCATCGAGATGTTATCGACTCGAAAAACGCGCATTTGGTACACTATAGGCAGCTATCCATACTGCGCCGCCCCAACAGCAACAAATAAGCGGGTCTGCAATGACAACCAAGACCTTCAGGACTACGATGCTCCCCTACCGGCAGCAGGGCGAAATTGACTACGGCAGCCTTGACTTCAACCCCGATGAGACGGAACCGCCGGAAGATGCAATGGAGCAAAACGAAGAACTTAATGAAATCCACAACTTGCTGCGCGCCTACGTCGTTGACTTTGGCCGTCGTCCCAACGTCTTTCTGGACCGCGAGACCAACATCTGCAACGACCCCGGCAACCTCAACGTCCGCATTGCGCCGGACTTGTACCTGGCCTTTGGCGTTGACGCCGAAGCCATCCGCCCGCGGAAGCTCTACCTTCCTTGGGAAGCGGGCAAACCCCCGGACTGGGCGTTGGAAGTCGCGTCGGCCAGCACCGCCCGGCGAGACGTCAACAACAAACCCGCCATCTACGCCCGCATCGGCGTTCCCGAATACTGGCGCTTCGACCCCAGCGGAGGCCGCAACTACGGGCAGCCGCTTTACGGCGGAATGCTGGTTGGCTCCGCATACCAGGAAATTGGGCTGACTACCGAACCCGACGGCGTTCTCAAGGCATACAGCGAAGTACTGGAACTCAGCCTGTGCTGGGACGAAGGCTGGCCTCGTTTCTACGACCATTCGACGGGGTCCTATCTGGAGAACTGGCGGCAGGTGTCGGCCGACCGGGAAGCGGAACGGGCCGCCCGTCGATCCACCGAGGCGGAAGTCGAACTTCTCCGTGAAAGCCTGCGCCACCTTGAATCAGGCGGTTAGCCGCCGTGCCTCGTCCGGGCTGTAGTTTAAGTAGCCAGCCGGTAACTCGGCTGACTACTCAAACTGCCTGGGTTCTCCACGCTCCCTGCGGTCAGCCGGTTTCCGCCTGATTCGGGACGCGTCAATTACCTTCCAGCACAAAATCGGCCAAACGCTCGCCCATCATCAACACCGTGGGGTTGATGGCCGCCCGAACCAAGTCGGGCATGATGGAGGCATCGGCCACCCGCAGTCCCTCCAAGCCGTACACCTTGCCGTACTGGTCCACCACCGCCATCGGGTCCAACGACAGGCCCATCTTGCAGGTGCCGGAAATGTGAGAATAGGTGTGGGCTTCCCGCAGCATCCACCGGTCCAGTGCTTCGTCCGACACCAGGTCGGCGTCGGCCGGCTCAATCCGTTCACCGATCAAGCCCTTCAACTCGTCGCTTTCAGCCAACTGCAAACACATCCTGACGGCAGCCCTCAGCCGCTCCCGGTCAAACGGGTCGGCCAAGTAGTTGTAGTCGAGGAACGGTTGGATCGTGGGATCGTTGGAGGTCAAGCGTAGTTCACCCGAGGATACGGGCAGCAGCAGGCCGGTCATCATCTCCATACGCCGGTCGGACGGGTCGTCGCCGATATCCGCTGGGAAGGGCAACTCAGAGGCTTGGACGCGCCGCGTTACGAATACCCCCATGATTATGGAAAGGTCATTCCGCAGGTGTGACCCGGGCGCGGTAAACCGGAGGTTGACGCCGCCTCGGGTTGGAACCTCCCCCACCGGGTGGCCTTCTTTCACCCGCCAAGTCACGTACAGCTTGGGATGGTCCCGCAGATTTTGACCCACGCCGGGAACGTTCAATACCACCGGAATCCCCAAGCTGGTCAGGTGGTCAGCCGGGCCGACGCCGGAAAGCATCAGCAGTTGGGGCGAGCCGACGGCCCCGGCGCTGAGGATTATGTTATTCCCCTCGACGACGAACGTTTCGCCCCCGCTCTCCACTACCACACCCGTCGCCCGATTGCCCTCGAACAATACCCGGTGGACGTGGCAATTGGGACGGATGGTCAAATTCAGCCGGTGCCGTCCCTGGCTCAGGTACCCCAAGGACGTGCTGAAACGCACACGGTTGTGGTTATTGCTGATTGAGGGGCCGACTCCTTGGGCCGAGGGGCTGTTATGGTCATCCGTTTCCGCAAACCCGCTGGAAATGCAGGCATTGAAGAACGCCCATTGGGCCGGCCGCCAGTCCTCTTTCTTGGCGTGATGAACGAAGATAGGACCTTCCGAGCCATGGTCGTCGCCGTGCTGGTCTACGTCAGTCTCGATTCTTCTGAAATAGGGCAAAACTTTCCCGAAGCTCCACTCGTCGTTGCCCAGCGATGCCCAAGCGTCAAAGTCTTCCGGTATTCCCCGGAAGAAGGCGGACATGTTGATGGCGCTGGAGCCGCCCGTAACCTTGCCTCTGGGGACTGACATTATCGGGGCAACGCTGGTGGCCCTGGCTTGGTACCTCCAACTATGGTTGCTGTTGGCCAATGCAACGGGGTGACCGCCGGGCGTCCTCGCCGTCGGCAGCCCCGGACTGGTGTCGTAACCATACTTGAGGTCGTCGGGAAGCCATTCAAAGTCGGGATAATCCGGCCCTGCTTCCAACAGCAACACCGGCCTGTCTCCCGATTCCGATAGCCGGGTGGCAAGAATTGCCCCCGCCGAACCGGCGCCTACTATAATCGTGTCGTACTTCATTGCTCTTCCTCCCGGACCTTGGTGGTTGGCCCTTGATGGAATGATTATACGTTCCAAATTTCTTGCGGGCTAACAACCGGATGGTTATACTCCCAATGACCGCGATGTAGCTATCCTTCCCGGTCTGTGACGAGCTATAAATGAAACCAGCCAAGTTTGATTATCACTCCCCGCAGTCCAGGTCCGAGGCGTTGGAACTCCTTGCCGAGCATGGCGACGACGCCAAGATACTGGCCGGCGGTCAAAGCCTCATGCCCCTGATGAACATGCGCTTGGTGCGCCCCGGCGTCGTGATCGACATCAACGGCATCGGCGACCTGACCCAGATAACTCCGGAGCAGGACGGCGGCCTGTCCGTCGGCGCCCTTACCCGGCACCGTCAGATCGAGCAGTCCAGCTTGGTGCGGGAAAGATTCCCGTTGCTGGCGGAAGCGGTGCCCAACATCGGCCATTTTCAGATAAGGAACCGCGGCACTGTTGGCGGGAGCCTGGCCCACGCCGACCCCGCCGCCGAGATACCCGCCCTCAGTCTTACACTCGACGCGGAGTTCGTCATCACCAAGAAAGGGAGCGAGCGGGTGGCCAATGCGGACGAATTCTTTGTCACCCACCTCACAACCATCCTGGAGCCGGACGAAATGCTGACGCAGGTCCGGTTCCCAAGCCCGCCGCAGCCGTGGCAATGGGGCTTCCAGGAGGTGTGCCGCAGGGCCGGTGACTTCGCCTTGGTGGGCGCGGTAGCCATGCTACAACTGGACGCCAACGGCGTTTGCCGGGATAGCCGAATCACCATTTTCGGCGCCGGCGGCACGCCGTTGAGAATGCGGACCGCCGAGGGCATTTTGGAGGGTAGTCAAGTTGACGCCGGCGTTCGTCAGCAAGCGGCAGAAGCAGTCAGCCAAGCGTTGGACCCTATTTCCGACATCCACGCCTCCGCCGAATACCGCAAAGACGTCGGGGGCGTCATGGCCCGCCGCGCGCTGGAGCAAGCCTTGGCAGCGTCCCCTGTCAACCCATGAGCCTACACCATATCAAGGATGTAGCATGAGTTCCGAGCGAGATATAAAGCTAACCGTCAATGGCAGAGAATACAGCGGCCACGCAGAGGTCCGAATGACCTTGGCGGACTTCATCCGGGGAGAACTGGACCTCACCGGCACCCACTTGGGTTGTGAGCACGGCGTATGCGGGGCCTGCACCATTCTGTTCAACGGCCAAGCCGTCCGGTCCTGCTTGATGCTTGCCGTCCAAGCCGACGGCGCCAACCTGATGACTGTCGAGGGGCTGGCCAACGGGGATGAACTGCATCCGCTTCAAGCGGCCTTCCAGCAAAACCATGCCCTGCAGTGCGGGTTCTGCACGCCTGGCATGTTGATGACCGCCTACGCCTTCCTTAGAGATACGCCCAACCCCACTGAACAGCAGGTCAGGGAGGGCATATCGGGGAATATCTGCCGCTGCACCGGCTACGCCCCCATCGTCCAAGCCATCCTGCAGACCAGCCGGGAAACTCCTTCTCCCTGAACTCCCCTCAACCCATTCATCCTCGTCATTGAAAAGGTCAAGTGATGGTCGAAACGCACCCAAGGCAAACATATATCGGGCAATCGATCATCCGAAAGGAAGACGCCCGGTTTCTTATGGGTAGAGCGGCTTTTGTGGACGACGTAACTCTACCCGGGATGCTCCACGCGGCTTTCCTCCGGAGTCCCCACGCCCACGCCAGGATCACCGGCATCGACGCGGCCAAGGCGTTAGCCATCCCCGGCGTGGCTGGCGTCTTCACATTTGAAGACTTTGCGGAGCAGGCTAAGCCCATTCCCGTCAGGCTGTACCAACTGCCCGGCTTGGAGCCTTTCCTGCAATACCCCTTGGCCCAGGACAAGGTGCGTTACGTCGGCGAGCCGGTAGCAATGGTAGTGGCCGAAAGCCGGTACTTGGCCGAGGACGCGGCGGAAGCCATCGACGTGACCTACGAGCTTCTGCCCGCCGTCGTTGACATAGAAGAATCGCTGCGGGACGAAATTATCATTCACGAAGCGGCAGGGACCAACCGTTCGGCCCACTTCTCCGTGTCCACCGGAGACGTTGCAGAGGCCTTCCGCGACGCGGACTATACCCGGAAGGAACGGTTCAAGTCCCACCGGCACACCGGCAACCCGCTGGAGACCCGCGGCATGATAGCCGAGTACGACGCCGAAACGGGCCACCTGACGGTTTGGGGAGAGACCAAGGTCCCCCACTTCAACCGCGAAGTGCTGTCATCGCTGCTGCAAATGCCCGTAGAAGAAATTCACTTCATCGAACAGGACGTCGGCGGCGGCTTTGGCATCCGGGGAGAGTTCTACCCTGAAGATTTCGTGGTGCCCTTGGCCGCCATCAAGCTCGGCAAGCCGGTCAAGTGGATCGAAGACCGGCTGGAACACCTGATATCGGCCAACCACTCCAGGGACGTGCTCTGCGACATAGAAATCGCCGCCAAAAACGACGGTACCATCCTGGGCATACGGGCGCAGGTCTACGGCGACATGGGCGGCTACATTCGCACCCACGGCAGCTTGGTTCCTTCTTCCACCGCGGGCCTGCTTATGGGACCGTACAACGTCCCCGCTTACGAATGCGAGGTCAACTGCGTACTGACCAACAAGACCGGCGTCGGCACATTCCGCGCGCCGGGCCGGTACGAGTCGTGCTTTATCCGCGAACGTCTGCTGGACATGATGGCGGCGGACCTGGGCATCGACCCGGCGGAGTTGCGTCTCAGGAACTTCGTCCAACCTTCCCAGATGCCCTACAACGCCGGGCGCACCAGGGCCGAGGGCGACACCGTTTTCGACAGCGGCGATTACCCGCAGGGACTGAATGCGGCCTTGGAGCAAATCGGCTATTCAGAAATAAAAACGTCTCAAGGACTTCACGCCGACGGCAGGTATCAAGGCGTCGGCTTGGCATCCTACGTGAAGAACACCGGCCGGGGCCCCTATGAAGGAGCGCGGGTCGTCGTCAACCGGCAGGGCGAGGTGTCGGTTTACATGGGAATCACCACCATGGGCCAAGGACACGAGACCGCTATGGCCCAAGTCTGCGCCGACTCGTTGGGCGTTCCTATGGACGTTATCAGCATCTACCACGGCAACACCGACTACATTCCCTACGGCGGCGGGACCTACGGAAGCCGCGGCGCGGTAATGGGCGGGAACGCCGTGGTGCTGGCCTGCCGGGAGCTACAGGTCAAGGCATTGGAGCTGGCCAGTACCTACCTGGACACCGAGCCGGAGAATTTAGTGCTTCTAAGCGGATCCATTTACCGCAAGGGAGAAGACGGGTCCGCACCACTGATGACGCTGGGAGAGGTGGCCGGGCTGGCGCAACGCCCCGGCGAAGACAACGAAGACCCAGCCGGCCTTGAGACCACCGAATACTTTGAAACTGAAGAGCTTACCTACAGCTACGGCAGCCACGTGGCCCACGTCGCGGTGGACCCGGAAACGGGGAAGGTCGACATTCTCCGCTACGTGGTCGTGGAGGACATCGGACGAGCCATCAACCCTTTGATGGTCCACGGGCAGGCCGTGGGGAGCGCCGTCCAAGGCATCGGGGCAACTATTCTTGAGCAGCTTGCCTACGACGACAACGGCCAATTGCTCGCCGGTAGTTTCATGGACTACCTGCTACCCACCAGCACCGACGCCCCGGACATAGAGAGCATCGTTCTGGAAGAGGCTCCATCACCCCTGAACCCGTTGGGGGTGAAGGGCGCCGGCGAGGGCGGCATCGTTGCCACCGGGGCCGCCTTGACCAATGCCGTGGTAAATGCGCTGTCGCCGTTGGGCATTCAGATAAACGAGCTTCCCTTGAGTCCCGACAGGATTATGGGGTTAATACGGGAACGACAAGGGTAACGATCGCCGCTGAAGGATAGGGCAGGGCAGAATAAAAATGCCTGCGCCCGGTTAGTTCACCAATGGGATGCGCGACAGCATATCCCGTATCCCTTCCATTAGCCCCTCAAGCCGCGCCTGCCGCTGCTCCAATACCGAGAAACGGGTTTCAAAGGTATCAAACCGCTGTTCCATACGCTGCTCTATGCGGACGCAACGTTGGTCTAAGGAATCGAGCCGCTTATGCGTCATTTGGAACATGAACACCATCAAACCGGCCAGCGCGACCCCGACGGTTATGATGGCTATCATGTCCGGCGTCATTCTGCTTCAGTCTTCCTCAACCTTCAGCCTATCCCCAACCGCCCCAAATAACCCTCGCTTCCGGCGGGAATGACCAAGCCCTGCTCCACGCCGGAGCGGTACATATTCCCCAGGGTTGCCAAGCGTGCGTCCGAAGGCCGCGTCCCTTCGTTAAGGTGGGCGTTCAAGTCCGACAGGCTGTTGTAGGCTTGGTCCACGTGCCAGTAGAAGGACAACAACCAAGCCAACTCCCTCTCGGCGGCCGGCGCGGGGATGTCTGATATGTCGAGGATCGCTTCCTCAACCTTGGTGTACCGCAGGATGCCGGCCTTGTCGGCGGCGTCCCGGCTGTAGTAGCGGCGGCGGCTCAGCTCCCGCATCCGCGAAACGTAGTCGTCTTCGCCGTATATATCTTTCGGTGACCATTCTTTCCGCATGTCCAGCGCCACGTCCCCGTTGGGACCCACGATGGCAACGGCAATGTCCGACCCCAGCGCGTTGTCGTGCTCGAACACCACCGCTTCCCTCAGCAATGCCTCCTGGAGCATCAACGTCAGTTCCCTGGGAATCTTCCGATACCGGGCGCCGCTGGCCTCATCGTTGACGTCTGCCCCCACACCGCCGGTATTGAAAACGTAGTACTCCTGGGCCATGCCGCCCTGGTCTATCTCTCGCAGGATGTGGTACAACAGGTTGGCGTTTTCGTCCTCCAGCCCGATGATGAACGGGTCGGAGAAGTACTCCACGTATGGCCTGCCGATTGCGCCCACCGCCGCGCCCATTTGCACGGCCTCCCCATACATCAGCACCCTTATGTATTGCTCCAGGCTCAACTTCCGCAACGGAGGTATGATCGTGTTCTGGCGCATGACGGCTTGCCAGAAAATCCGGTCGGTGGTCTCCATTGGAACGTGGACCGAGTCTTTCAAACGGCCGTTGGTAATGGCCTCAATCAGGTGCTGGGCATTTTTCCTGTCGATCAACCGGGGCCGGGACAATGTGACCCGCATGTTGCGGACCGGGTTAAGCATATAATCGGGCACGCCGTCATCAATATTGACCGGCACGTTTTCCAGCGTTTCCTGGTCATTGGGAACGTCTTCGGTGCCTCGGATGGCTTGATAGGTAATAGGGTCCTCTTCCTGGTTCAACCCGAAGGGCATGGCGTAGAAGTTGTTCTCCGTGCCGTCGATTCCGTGGGTGATTCGTACCTTTTGGTTGTTGTGCTCAACCTCTATGGGCTCGGAGAGGGGTTGCAGTAACACGATGTCGTCGTTCATCGGGTACACGCCCTCTTCCTGGTCTTCTTTAAGGGAAAGGAGTTGGGCTAAATTGCTGTTGGCCAACTCTATCATTATGGTGAGGGTGCTCTTGCCATGGAGAGAAGGCCCCACCGTAATCAAAGCAGTATTCTTGGCTGCGCCCTCCAGGGTCTTTACCCTCGCCATGCTCAAAGCGGCTTGGATGGCCAGTCCTTTGGCCTGCTTTACCAGGAACATTGCGATGGACAGAGGGCCCATCTTGTGCTCGCCCACGTAGTCGAAACCCAAGTGCAGCGATAGCCCCTTGGTGGGCGCTTTGAAGACCAGCTTGGTCAGGCCGGACTCCTCGATCCGGGCCTTGAGATCGTCGGACAAGTCCAGGTCTTCCAGCCAATTCGGGATGGTCACCTCGAGAATATCCGGTGTTGACGTGCGTTCATCCTCGGGGAGGTCGAACGTAAGTTGGCGCCACATGATGGGAATCTGCATGTAACGGGCGCCGAAGAGCAGTTGGCGCGCGTGGAAGGACCGGCCCGGCGCGTCACAAATTTGCCTGTCGGTCTGGATGATGGTCTGTCCCGAAGCGAACTGCTGCTTCATGTAATCGTTGATGCGTTCTAAGACTTCGGAAAATAGGGCTTGGTTAGTCTCGCTGAAGGACAGCGCATCCCGGTTTTGAACGAAATCATCGACGAAGTACTGGGTAAGGTCCGGGCGGCGGACGACCCCCAGTTGACTGAAAAACGCCAGCCCGCCGCTGTCCAGCCTGACTACCACTTCGGGCCACGCCCTTGTGGCCGCCCGGCCTGCGGCATTGGCCTCCTCGGCCTCCCGGTCTATGGCGCTGGCTTCGGTGAATATGCGTTGCTGCGCCTCTTCCGGCATATCCTGAAGGACCGGCATGTGCTGGTAGAGCCATTCGATGGGAGGATTGAAAAACTGGCTCTCCGCCGGTTGCCCCTGTCTTGCCAGTCCTGCCAATTCGTCCAACGCCTTCAGGAAACTTGGGTTGACGGCCGGCGCGGCGAGGGGAGAGGGGGGTTGCTGTTGGCTATCCGAACTCATGCTGTTGTCCCCACTGGAAACCCCTATTTAATGCGGGGTGAGCTTGCCCGCGTGTGTATCGGGCACAGGCCGCCTGTTCACGGCGGTCAGAGTATGCTACATGGTAGCCGCTATCAAGTCAAAGCGCGACTCATTCCAACTAAGCCCATTTCCCTCCAAACCAAATGAGATTGGCCAGCCCCATGTGTGGAATTCGAGGCAGGGTGTTAAAATACCGCCAACCGGAAACTTAAAGAAAACTCTGCGCAATCTGGGCGCCCTCTGTATTAAACGGGCCTGTTGCGCCCAAAAAATTAGACCGGAACAAGAGAGGTTAAGAATGACTCAAATGACCGGCGGTCAAGCCTTGATGAAGTCCCTCTATTTGGAGGGGGTACGGGTAATCTTCGGCCTGCCCGGAGTCCAGTTGTACCACGCCATGGACGCACTGTACGACGAACCCGGCATCCGGTTCATCACCACCAGGCACGAGCAGGCAACCACCTACATGGCCGACGGTTATTCCCGAGCCGGCGGCGGCATCGGCACGGCGCTGATGGTGCCTGGGCCGGGACTGCTGAACGCGGCTTCCGGCATCAGCACCGCCTACTCCGCATCCTCCCCGATACTGGTGGTGTCTGGGCAGGTGGAGCGCGACATGATAGGCGTGGACCGTGGAGTGCTGCACGAGGTCAACGACCAGCAGGACTGCATCCGCCCCATTACCAAGTGGGCCGAGCGCATTTTGGACCCGGCCAAGGTGCCCGACGTGGTGCACGAGGCTTTTTACCATCTGAAGACCGGGCGGCCCAGGCCGGTCGAGATAGAAATCCCGCCGGAAACCTTGGCCGACATGGCCGACGTAGAGTTGCGGGAACCGGAGGAATACCCTCAGCCGGGAGCGGACAGCCGGCAAATCGCCGAAGCCGCCAAAGTCCTGAAGGAAGCCGAGTCACCGATGATCCTCGTCGGGGGCGGTGTAATCTCCTCCGGGGCGTCCCGGGAACTCATCAGGGTCGCAGAATTCCTGCAAGCCCCGGTGTTGGCGACTGCCGAGGGGAGAGGCGCTATTTCCGACCATCATCCCCTGTCCTTGGGCGCAATGAGGCTGCGCAACGACCCCTTCGGGCAGGACGACTACGGCCACGACGTGATTCTGGCCGTGGGCACCAGGATACAGAACCCCCAGTTCATCAACGGGCAGCGCGTAGTGCAGATCGACATCGACCCCGAAGAACTGGGCCGCAACTACGACGACACCCTGGGCATCCAGGGCGACGCCCGGGTGACTCTGGCCGGGCTATACGACGCCCTGTCCTCTACCATGTCTGCCAAGCCCAGCCGCCAAGCGGAGATCGACAGGCTCAAGGTGACACGTACCCAAACAGAGCCCAGGGTAGAGCCACAGGACTCGTACCTCGATGCGGTCCGCAACGCCATGCCTGAAGACGGCATCCTCATCGCGGGCATGACTCAGATGGGCTACTACAGCCGCGCTTACTATCCGGTTTACGAACCCCGCACCTTCATTACATCGTCCTATTCCGGTAATCTTGGCTACGCGTACCCTGTTGCCTTGGGCGCCAAGGTAGCCCAGCCGGACAAGGCGGTGGTGGCCTTGTCCGGCGACGGCGGGTTCTTGTTCAATTCTCAGGAGATGGCTACGGCGGTCCAACACGGAATCAACGTGGTCGTCGTGGTGTTCAACGACAACGCCTACGGCAACGTCCTGCGAGACCAAGTCACCCGGTTTGATGGCCGCTCCATAGGTGCGGAGCTTCACAACCCGGACTTTATCAAGCTGGCCGAAGCTTACGGCGTCAAGGGTATGAGGGCCAATGACTCGAAGGAGTTGGAGTCCAAGCTACGTGAAGCCCTGGAGCTGGACGCCCCGGTTTTGATAGAGGTGCCCGTCGGGATGATGCCCACTCCGTTTACTTAACCCGGTGTGGAACCGCCGACCAACCAGATTTCGTCATTCCCATGAAAATAGGTTTTTTCATGCCCCATAAGTGGCCCTCACAGGACCATCCGTCATTCCCGCGAATGCGGGAATCCACGGGCCTTGGATAATAGCAGTGCCCATCCTAGTTGGACTGTGGGGCCCTCTTTCGCGGGGATGACGAGGAAATATCAACATAGCTTACAAACCGTTATTGATCGTTTTTGAAGGAGGAGCGATATGCTGGACTACAAGCCGAACCTAGTGCTTTCCACTCAAGAGTTCGACGTAGTGGGCACCCGTCCTATCCGCCATGACGGGCCGGACAAAGTTACGGGCCGCGCCCGTTACGGGGCCGACATCCAATTGCCCAACCTGTTATTCGGCAAGATGTTGCGCAGCCCTCATCCCCACGCCCGCATCCGGAACATCGACGCCAGCCGGGCGCTGGCCCTGCCGGGCGTAAAGGCAGTGATTACCGCCGCAGACCTGCCGGAGGTGTCAGCGCAAGTTGCAGACTTGGAAGAGGGCGCCGCCGTGAACTACGGTTTCTACAGCCGCAACGTGATGGCGCGAGAGAAGGTCCTCTACCGGGGGCACGCTTTGGCCGCGGTTGCAGCGACCAGCGCCCATATTGCCGAGCAGGCCTTGTCGTTAATCGACGTTGACTATGAAGTGCTTGGGCCGGTGCTCAACGCCGACGATGCCATGAAAGACGACGCTCCCATCCTCCATGAAAGGCTGCTGACCTTGGCCGACCCGGCATTGCGCCCCGGGGGTTGGGGAGCGACAGACACCGAGAACGCCAGCAACGTGGCGAACCGCTTCCAGTTCACTATGGGAGACATAGAAAAGGGGTTCCAGGAAGCCGATGTCATCGTCGATCGGGAGTTCCACACCAAGCCGGTGCACCAAGGGTACATCGAACCACACTCGGCCACTGCGCTATGGAGCACCGACGACTCCGTCACCATCTGGTGCAGCAGCCAAGGCCACTTCGCAGTGCGGGACCACACTTCCCTGATTCTCGGCGTCCCCGTTTCCCATGTGAAAATTGTACCCATGGAGATCGGCGGCGGTTTCGGCGGCAAGGGACAGGGCGGCGTGTACTTGGAACCCGTGGCAGCGGCGTTATCCCGCAAGACCGGCCAGCCGGTGAAGATAACCATGAACCGGACCGAGGTGTTCGAGGGCACGGGCCCCACATCCGCCACTCACATCCGGGTCAAGATGGGCGCAACCAACGACGGCCGTATTACCGCCGCCGAGGCCAGGCTGGTCTACGAGGCCGGCGCCTTCCCAGGCTCCCCGGTGCCCTCGGGATGCCGCACTATGCTGGCCCCTTACAACATACCCAACGTCTACGTAGAGGGGCTGGACGTCCTGGTCAACTCCCAGAAGGCCGCGGCGTACCGCGCACCCGGATCACCGCCGGCGGCTTTCGCGGCGGAGTCGGTTGTCGACGAGCTTTGCCAGAAACTGGGCATAGACCCCATTGAGTTCAGGCTCCGCAACGCCTCCGAGGAAGGCACTCGGCAGGCCGCTGGCCCGGTGTTCCGCCGGATCGGTTTCGTCGAGACTTTGCAGGCCGCGCAGCAGCATCCCCATGTCGCAACCGACTTGACCGGCCCCAACCGCGGCAGGGGCGTTGCCGCCGGCGCGTGGTTCAACGGCACCGGACCGGCCAGCGCAGTCGTCAGCGTCAACCCCGACGGCACCGTGAGCTTGGTGGAAGGGTCTCCAGACATCGGCGGCTCCCGCACCGCCATGGCCATGCACGTCGCCGAGGTGTTGGGAATCCCGGTAGAGGAAGTAAAAGCCCGCGGTGGTGGACACCGACTCCATCGGATATAGCTCCGGCGCAGGCGGCAGCGGCGTAACTTTCAAAATGGGTACGGCTTGCTACTTGGCCGCTCAGGACGTCACCCGCCAGATGGTTGAGCGGGCCGCCAAGCAATGGGACGTGGACCCCGAATCCGTGGTCTACGATGCCGGCGTCGTTCAGCATAAAGAGGACCCGGAACTGAAGACGACCTTCAAGCAACTGGCCCGCCGCCTGAACGCCACCGGAGGCCCAATCGTCGGCCGGGGCACCACCAACCCCGGAGGTGTCGGCAACGCTTTCGGGCTGCACATAGTGGACGTAGAAGTGGACCCCGACACCGGAAAGGTGGAAATCCTGCGCTACACTGCCCTCCAGGACTGCGGCAAGGCCATCCATCCCAGCTACGTGGAGGGCCAGATTCAAGGCGGCGCGGTCCAAGGAATCGGCTGGGCCTTGAACGAAGAGTACTTCGTCAACGACAACGGCCAGATGATGAACTCCAGCTTCCTGGACTACCGTATGCCCACCAGCCTGGACCTGCCGATGATCGACACGGTCATCGTTGAAGTAGCTAACCCGGGCCACCCCTACGGCGTCCGCGGCACCGGCGAGGTGCCACTGGTGCCCCCCATGGCGGCCATCGCCAACGCCATCAGCAACGCCATCGGCGTCCGAATGACCAGCCTGCCCATGACGCCGGGTAGCGTGCTTGAGACGTTATGGGAGGGAGGAAACGCCTAGCAGGACTGGCGTAAAACCACTACCGCGTCGTACAGCGGGGCCTTGCTTCTCGTGCGGAGCCTGGCCCCGCTGTTTATTATGCTTGACCCGGTGCACTCTCGGAGTTTCTTTTACCCCAAGGACCGTGAGTCCATTGAGACCGGCGATGTCACACACCCGCTCTTCAAACGTCAGTGCAACGGGCCCGGCGATCATACCCTCACAACAACTGGTAGTGGGCTTCCGTGGGCTGGCGGTCCACGCCGTTCACCGGCACCACGTCCTGAGGGCAGGCTGAAAAGGCCATCACACAGTCCATCTCGGCGCGCAGCAGCACGTAGTTGCCCGGCTGGCACACCGGCGGCTCAAAGGTCAAGTTGCCGTTGGGCTGCACCGGTATGTTCATGAAAAGGTTCCAAGGACTGGGAATGTCTGGCGGCGTAAGCCCCAACTCAGTCAACGCCGCCCTCAGATTGTCGGTGCAGTTGTCGTGGTAACCCTCGCAGCCCAGCAACTCGTAGCGGTACCGGTCGCAGGCCGACATCAACGTATCGTGCAGCCCGCCTGACGTGTCCTCCACGAAGTGCAGTATCGGACGCCTTTTGTTCGTGACCATGATGTCGCCTGCCCGCGGCAAAATGCCGTCTATCGCCGTCCGGCAGTGCTCCATGGACATGAACTCGGCCATGTCGTCGCGGTTGAACGCCCATGTATCCACCACTTGCTGCCCATGGGTGTTGATGACCTTGAACTGCTGGCCCTTGGCGACGAAGCAGGCCGTCCCTTTTCTCGCAGGTATAGCGACTCGCTCACTGGTTGTCACGGTTCGACTTCCTCCTTCCTGTTCACGAAGAAAACTCTGAACTCTCCGCGACCTCTGCGGTAAATTTACTCGGAGTACCGCCCCCAGACCGCCGGCAGCTTCGCCAGCGCCTCGCCGGGCAACGGCCCTTTCGCGGCGCACTTCACGGCTTGCTCCAAGTGGTCCACGCTGGAATACCCCACCATGGCCGTCGAAACCGATGGGTTGCCCAGAACGAACCGCAACGACGCCTCCACCAAATCGTCAACGTAGCCCTCGTCCACCAGGAACCTGAAGTCTGCCGACCGGCCTAGGTCCTGGGCGTAGTCCCGGCCCGATCCGATAGGACCTACCGAAGGCGCCGCCATAGGGTGCCTTTGTTCGAAACCGGCAAGGGCTCCGGCCGCCAATACCCTGATGGCGATTACCCCCATTTCTGACGCCGTCGCCCTGTCTATAAGCTTGTCGTAGTTGGGCATGTCGAACTCTGCTCCAACGTCCGCCGCCGCGCTGGGGTTCAGTAAGCTGTAGACCGTCTGGATGGTTCGCATCGCTCCCGAGTCTGCAATCCGGTGCAACGCGGAAGTCTCCCCCACACCGGTTAACCCCCAATGCCTAATCTTTCCTTGGGACCGCAAGGCCTGGACAGCCTCGTTCACCTCACCCAGAACGTCCTCCACTGTCAGGACATCGCGCCCCAGGTCGCGCTCCGAGCCGACCCGGTTGTGCAACTGGATAAGGTCCACGTTATCCCGGCCCATCCTGCTCAGGCTGGCCTCCACCGACCGCACCACGCCGCCTTTTAAGTCGGAGCCGTCGTCAGCAAACAGCCGGTACTTGGTGCCCACGTATACCGGAGCGTTAAGCTCCCTCAACACCTTGCCCAGGTTGGTCTCTGACTGGCCGTCTCCATAGGATGAAGCGGTGTCAAAGTAGTTGATCCCCAGCTCCATCGCCCGGGCCACCGCCTTCACTTGGTCCTCGTGGCTCCCCCGTATCAGCAGCCCTCCCACGTTGCCGCATCCGAAACCGATTTCGGAGACGTTCATTCCGGTCTGCCCCATTGGCCGATATTCCATAGTCATCTGCACCCTTTAACAAGAATGAGTCGGTGTCCGTTGGAACAACATCGTTCTCCTATGGACCATCCGGACGCTGCCGCGCCGGAATATTCGCTCTGTATATTACATTATCGGGAACGTTCCCCACAGCACGAACCTGTCCCCAGGGCAATCACGTTATAAAGTTTTGCGGCCCATTTAATCCCCCGTCTTCACGGGGGCAGGCGTCATTCCCGCGAAGGCGGGAATCCACGCTGTCTCCCATAGGCAAATTTACCCTTTCCAACGACTATGGATTCCCGTTTCCACGGGAATGACAGGAGGTTCTGCGGCAGATTTGGCCTGTCTGGTGCACTGATAGTTAAAACGCGATTGCCTTGACCTGTCCCCCAGGGCCTTTTCATTCTCTCGTCATTCCCGCGCAGACGGGAATCCATGTGGTCCTGCCACGAGAAGATTGCCATAGGCCACAGTCATGTAGGGTCCCGCTTTCGCGGGAAAGACGGGACCCGTTTAACCCAATCGGGAAAATGAAAAGGCCCTGACCTGTCCCCCGCGCCGATTGACGGTATATTGCAGGGCTTCTACACTGCCCATTGGCTGGAATCAGTCGAGTCGCTTGTAAAGACTTCTTGGGAGCGGGCAGCTATGACGCCGGCGCCCGGAGCGTAGGAGTCAAGGACCCGTTTAGTGGTAGTTGCTGAGACCAGGGGACAGTTTTCGCCCTACCGATGGGTGGTGATGGTGATATGGATGGTCTCCAGCGTCTCAGGGTTCATGGTTGTATCCACCTTCGGAATCCTGTTGCCGGAAATCACTGCGGAACTGGGTCTCTCTCCCACGCAGCAGGGCCTGCTTGGGTCGGCGGCATTCTGGGGCAACCTGACGCTCGCGGTGCCCTTGAGTTGGTTGTTCTCCAGGTTCAGCCCCAAGACGTTGACCACCGTGACGATGGTCTTCTCCACAGTCTTCATCCTTGTTCAAGCCTCGGCGCCTTTGTTCGCGGTCCTGATTTTTGGCAGACTGGCCTTCGGCTTCTCAGTAATTGCCCGCCAACCTGCCCAAGCCATCCTGATGCAGCAGTGGTTCCCCCCCAGAGAGTTTGTCACAGTCAACGCCATCGGTAACACCATGTTCGGGCTGGTGGTGGGTGGAGGAGTTGCAACCGCCCCGTTCATCCTCAGCGGTCTCGGCAACGATTGGCGCATGACCCTGGGCGTCTTCGGAGGCCTCTTGGCGTTGGAGACCGTCTTGTGGATCGTATTGGGCCGGGAAAATGCCGGTGCCGCGACGAGCCGCCGGTCTGAAGCCCTGGACATAGACATCATCCGCCGGGCCTTCAAATACCGGGACCTTTGGATAACGGGCTTCGGCTTCCTGGGTGCAACCCTCGCGTTCTTCGCCTTCATATCCTTTTTCCCGACCATGGCGCTGGAAAACTACAACATCCCCTTACGCTGGTCCGGCAGCCTGCTGGCATTGGGAATCGTGACAGGCGGCGCAAGCGGCTTGGCTGTCGGGTATATCGCCACCGTGACCCGTCAAGACAAGGTGCTGTTGGGAGTGCTGGGAGCGTTGATGGCCTACACTTTTGCCGCCATGCCTCTGACCGGGTCGGTGCCCTTGTTGCTCTTGTTTAACTTTCTGAACGGGGTTGCATGGGGCTTCTGGCCCATTCTCTACACGGTGCCCTTCCACCTACGGGGAATCAGGCCCCGCGAGGTCGCCGTGGCCGTGGGATTCATCGCCATGATGGTCTCCCTGGGATCTACCCTTGGCCCGCTGGTCACAGGGTTGCTCCAGGAACACTTCGGGGACTTGAGGCTGGCCCTGCTATGCGTCAGCGTCGCCCCCATGACCCTCACCACAGCAGGCATCCTCCTGAAGCAGGGGTCATCGCCCAACGAGTAGGCCGTTCGGAAAAATTAACTGCTAAAGTAGAGAATGATGATCGCGATAGCCTGCTCTTTCGTGATACGACTAGCAAAATAGTCAATTACCGCCGTTATAGCCTCTTCCTTGCTTATCCCGGCGTCGCCGTCGTCGTCGTACGGGATACCCAGCGACAACTGCGGGGATGCAGTGTTGCCCTTGCCATCAGCGCCCGTCACCGCATCGGCCGCAATGTCCACAGTCACGGGGGCGGCGGCGTTTGGCGTTACGTCGAACGTATAGAAAGCGTTGCCACTGCTGCTGGTGAAGTTGCTGACGGCGCCATTCGCCGCGTCGACATCTTCGATGGTAAAGCCCGAAACCGGCTCGCTGAATGCGACCGTCACAAAAATAGGCGTGTTGAATCTGACTGAGGTAGCCGTGTTGCTCGTGGCATATACGCCCGGTGCGGTGCGGACCATTATGCTGGAAATACCGGCAACAGGCTGCTCGGATTCATCCGCGTTCACTACAACTCCGGAGAACGAGTACGTACCCTCCATGCTGGAGGTGGTAACCATGTACGTAAAGGCCTGACTACCCGACAGGGTGAAGCTGACTCCCTGGCCTGTTGCCACAACTGAGGGTCCCGGCAGACTGCTGGATACATGAGTGAACCCGGGCGGCAGCGTCTCTACTACATCGCCAGAGGCGCCGTATCCGGAGGCGGTGACTGGTACTACCACCGCGCTTCCGGGACTCACGTGCACCCGCGAATATGACCGGGTGGCTCCCCAGGTTGCCGGCGTTCCGACCCCGGTCGCGGACCAGGCGCCCTCTCCGGTAACATGGACCGCCCGCAATTGAACGTCGTACAGGGTACCTGCTGCCAAGCCGGTAAGGAGATATTCCAAGCCACCGGAACCGGTCCAGATGTCCTCCACTGCGGTCCAGTTGGCCTCCACCGTCTCGTCGGCGCCGGTCCGGATGTAGCGCAAGTCGTAGGCCGTGACGACCGACCCGCCGGTGTTGCCGGGAGCGGCCCAGGTTACGGTCAGCGAATTTGGCCCCGCAATGATAGGACTGGTGATAATAGTGGGGGCGCCTGGCACTATCGGGGCGGCCGTCATTGTAAAGGTCGTGCTGGCTATAGTCTCGCCGACTTTCACCACAACCGCTTGGGCCCCGGTGTGGCTGACGGGCACCACGAAGGTGGTCTCGAACGCGCCCTCGCCGTCGGTTGAGAGGCCGGAGTCGGACCGGACGTCCAAGGTGCCAAAGTTGAT